ACAGTATTTAACATGTTCCTTTTTTCCTATTTCCTATCCCTGGAAAGTGGGACTCTGGAATGCTGTTTGCTGCTCTCCACATTTGTCACATCTGTCTTCATTCCCTGTTCCTGAATTTCTTTTTTTTTTTTTTTTTAATATGAAAAGGAAAATATTATTTGTTCTCTACCAGTCTACCAAGGCACGTGATGCACTCACAGCAGAGAAGCTGCTGTTTTTCTACATAAAGTGGAGTTACTCTCTCTAGTTAGAATGGCAAATGCCTTGGTATGCCATATAGGTGTCATTATGGTTCTTGGTAGAGTATGTTAATGTTTCAGTATTTATTTGTGGTTTTTCAATTTTCATTATTTTTCATAATTTCATTATTTACAGTATTTGGATAAGTCCTTAAACACTCAACTGCATTGGCTCAAAATGTTTGTCATGTTTGCACCGACTGCAGTGGCATATGTTAAACACATCTTTGAAGGGGTGTCCTGCACTGCCACTGCAACCCAGCCCAGCCAGATCCTGCTGTCACGATACATCATTGTTATGACTGAGTGCAACTGAGTGCAACTGAGTGTAGAGGAAGAAAGCACCTTGGTACAAGCCAAGAAATATTGCTAGTGTCATCTTCACGGGGGTCTTTCATCATACTCAGACAGAATAGTAGAGGTCTTTATCTAAGGCTTTCAGACAAGGAAGTTTAAATATGAAATGACATGCCCTGCTCAGTTTCAAAATTCAGCTCTGTTGTGAAGGAGGCTCTCTCTCCATCTGGGGGGAGTTCACATCGGCTTTGTATTTCATGGTGGAACTCTGCCAGCTTCCAAACAGAAGAAGTCTCTTTGTTTTGTAGAGGAGGTGGGAAGATGTGTGCTGAGGAGCAGCCGTGGCTATCACTGCTGAATAAAGACCAAGGTGTTGGGCAGTCCTGGGTAGTCGCAAGTGGTCAGTCTCTAGCAGTTGTGAGGATCAGCTAGTAAGCAAAGAATTGTAACTTAGCTGAAGTACGATTTTCTCCTATATTTATTGTGGGTTTTGTAATTTGTGGGGAAGTAATTATTAGCTAACTTTTCAAGACCATTGTACATTAGGTTCGTAGGTGTTATTCTGCCTCTGTGCTGCCTGTAAAGTGTGACTGCTGTGGGTTTGAAACCCTTTCCTGAAATGGGTGAAACTTTGGAGCATATTTGGACAAAACAGGCTTCGTCTGGGAATGGCTGCTCTTCGTAATAACCAGCTTAAAATAACACTTCACAATGAATAGAAGTAAATTTGTTTTGTGCTGGCTTTCATCTCTTTGTCACACTCACCTTTTTAAATATCCTAGAAGCCCTTCAGTAACAAAATCACTCCTGAACATTACCTTGCTTGATTGAGAACCAAGGAGTTCCCATTTGCTGGAACCAAGGAGTTCCAATTTGCTGAAACCAAGGCTGGCATGGATTATGGCTACACCTTCAGAGTGCTGCCTCACTAGGTACACATGACTGCATGTCTCCCATCACTGCCTCAGCTCTGTAGTCTGATTTACAAGATATACTCCTGTGTTGGCAAAATGTGTTACTGCTGACTGCTCTCTTGCACCAGTGAACTGAGATATTAAAATGGATGTGATCAAATGCAATTTGAAGTTTGTCCAAGAGATACTTTTGAAGAACCATACACACTTCTTTCTTAATCTTTAGATTTTATTTTTAGATTTATCACTTTTAGATTTGCATATGCAGAGCTCCATGTAATGTTTGGCAAGTTATTATTCTTATTTTAACAATGTTTTTATAATGTTGCTCATGGAGGTGGTGGCAGAGGGGATTTTATGCCATCTGTCCCTGTGATCTTAAAAATATTATATAAAGTGTTAAATTGGATGGACTGGATGGATTTAAAATAGAACAAAACAATGTATTTAAATTGCTTATAACATCTAAAATTCACTATGATGGCTCAGTAAAATGAAAGGAAAAAAAAGTAAGTGAAAGAGTCAAAAAGGTATTTTGAAGCCATTCTTTCCAACTTGTGATCACACTTTGGTAAGTGGTCTGTGCAGCACTCTGTCTTTATAGAATTTTGAGTTATAAGTTTCTTGATGAGGACAATGTTAAACACAACATTGTAGCTGTATTTAATAATTAATAATTAATATAGCATTTTAAGAGCAATATAATTATTCAATTTTACATTCTTCTGCTAACCTGAAAATTTATTTTGATGAAATTCAATTTGTGAAGAAAAGTGGGAAAATTGTGATGTGTAGTTTGGCATACTTTCCTATCTGAAGGATTATATAGATTCTTAAAACCTTTTTAAAGCAATTTTTCTGCTGTTCAAAATGTCATTTCTGGAATACACTGCCCCTTAAATTTACAGGGTGTATAAGTTGAAGGGGTGGTTATTACATGTCATCACATAAAACTCTTCTTGGAAAAAAGAGAATGGACTTGTAGCGTGGTTCAAGTGCGTGAAGCTGGTGCCTCTAGTGTGCTATGTGGGGGAATAAATGGCTTTCAGTCATGTAAACTAGTATCAGATATTCATCTCCTTTGAAGTCCAATAAAAAATGCGCGCTTACTTTAAATAAGCATCTAAGCATATAAATGTCTCAATCAAGTCATCAGAAAACAAATACTGAAAGGAGTTTTCTATTTACATTTGGTTTTTTTTCTGTCTGAAATCTCTATTTTGCTCCATGTTTTTGCTTCGGATATGTTTCCTGCTGAGAAGGACAGACTGGAATCACAGTAGGGATCTTTGCCTTTTAAGTTGCTCTTTGCTTTTGCAGAGGGCTGTGTACTGGAAGGCCCAGTGTATTTGTCCAGTGTTTTGCTCGGCATGAGAGGAACATGACTATTTAAGAAAGGCAGGAAACTATTATTTGGTCAGTTTAGCTACATTTCAATTGCAAGTACTGAAAGAGCAGACAGAAGTTTAAATACACGTCTTAAGGTACATGAATACAAATCAGTTCAGCTTTTGTGCTCTTTGTCTTTGATCAGGAAATTCTGAGTCTTGAATGAAGGTGTAAAAGACTAATTCTGAGTTAAATTTACCACAACTATAATTTCACTGCTTGTGTTTATCCAAAGTTCTTCTCCAAAATTCTTTTTCTCCTTTTCTTAATGGCATATGTATACAGCTACACAGCTACTTTAGTAGATTCAAACTATAGCATGTTTTACAAGCAGAGCTTGATTTTTTATTTATTTTTTTAATGCAAACTCATGTGCCTTTGTCAAAGTCAAAGGATACATGCTTTGCATGCTAATTTTCTCTGCCAGGTAATTTAGCTTCCATTCCCTCATTGTTGATTTTTTTTTTTTTTTAGCATGACAATCTAAATGTTATGGTGCTTCCTGTCCTTCAGGCATATTTTTCTTTAGAAAGTTAATATATTGATAAAGAGTAATACAGGATCAGAATTTCCTATTATATTATACTGGTGTGGATTGAACTAATTCATCAACTTTAATATTATCTCACCTCCAAGTTTTTCTTTCAATTGCATAAAACTCATCAGATTAACAACAGTCACGTGGCCACAGTTATACTGTGGTTCCAGTACAAATGGTACTAAAGTCTAAGACTTTTCATTGTCTTCAGTGAGATTTAGAAAAAGCCCATTGTTTTCATACTTCTTCCATCACTGCAGTACCAGATAACAGAAATAACTGCTCTAAATATCAGCATCTTCTGATACTTTGCACTTCTGTTCTGAGAAAACATCCAAGCAAATATGAATATAACCAAAGTAAATTCTCTCCCTCTGAATTCAGAATGACTATTTAACTGGCTTTAATATTTTGATACCCAATACTAAGTTTCACATTCAGTTCTTTACATACAGATGGCGGCTTAGAAGACGGTTAGACTGTTTATGAAGGATGAGGAAAAAGAAACTGAATAAAATAGTGTGGTTATAAAATCTTCTGTTTTATTAGAAAGTTCTGGAATACTTCTGTTTTGTTTTGTTTTGTTTTGTTTTGTTTTGTTTTGTTTTTGTTTTGTTTTGTTTTGTTTTTTCAATGTCAGCAGTGCTTGTAAGTTTGCCCATAACCTCAATGCTGAAATGGAGTCTTAATCTGTTTCCAATTTGGATAGTGTGTGATCTCCACTTCTGTCTTCCCCATCCCCTACAGCTCATGTAGCTTGAGTAGTTCTTAAGCTGGCTTTCTGAGTTGTAGTCCTCAGCTTGAAAGTGTTGCAGGAGGTATGCTTTATGGCTGTTTCTGCTTTGGGAACTGACAGTAGCTGATAAAAGTATTTCTAAAAGTAAGTTCTGGGACACTTTCATGGGTTCACAGAACATAAAACAAAATATGAAATGATCTTACATGTATATTTCCAATTGTCCATCTTCTAACCCTTCCTCAGATGTTTTGTTAAATTTGTTTCAGCCTAGTTGTCTCTGTGAAACTGGAAAAAATATTTGTGCAACTCATGCTGTCTTCCCTCCTCTTTTTTCTGCTTGTTCTATACCAGCACCACCTGTCCAACAAGTGTTCACACCTCATTTTTTCCTGGGGATCAGGCTTTTCTAGTGGTTTGTGGCTTCTTTGAGTTTCTCAGTTCAGTAACTTCTGCTCCATTAATTCCAAATCAACTGATTCAGATACCAGAAACTCTTCAGTGGACTAAGTGAAGAGCTTCTTCGGTCTTTTTTCACTTATTTGAAGTACTGCAGGGAGTACTCCAGTTGTTTTGCACATTATTCTTCTCTTCTTTGGTGAAAAATGATGTCTGTTTTATTTCTGTGGCCTTCTGTGTTAAAACACTGTGCTGTGAACTGCTGGCATATTTGTAGCATATGTTTGCATTCATAAAAATGCCACAAAAACATTAATAGTACCAACTTGAGAAAGAGAAATTGTGAGCTTATCTTGCTTTCACCACTGTAATAGAATGGGTAGTTTAGATGTTCATAGCAACGTGTACTAAATACAATGGAGACAGAATAAAGATCACAATAGTAGTCTATGCAAATCTAAGTTTTAATTTGTGTTGTTCCTCTTTAGCTTGCGGACGTGGGTTCTACAAATCATCTTCACAAGATCTGCAGTGCTCCCGCTGCCCTACTCACAGCTTTTCTGACAAGGAAGGATCTTCAAGATGCGACTGTGAAGATAGTTATTATAGAGCGCCTTCTGATCCACCATATGTTGCATGCACAAGTGAGTCAGTTGTGAGTTTAATAGTAAAGGACATTGCTTAACCAACCAAGTGCCGTCATTTGTAGCTAGTAGTTTCGGTTGACTTTTTCTGTATTTGCAAAGTACATTTGCAACAGTAAATGAAATTGAAAGGCAGAGGGGGAAAAATTGACAGTGAATATGGAATGAGCAAAAATGTAATTTTCACATTTGCTTGACATAATATTGGAAAATATTGCATGTTGGGTGTGTAACTCTTAATGGAATACATGTATACTTTTCCCATGGCTTTAAAACTGATGCTGCTTATGTATTTTATATGATATAATATCAAAATGAATAACATGAAAAATACAAAGTAGTCTATGTAGATTTGAGTTTTAATTGAAAAGTGATTGGATCTGGCTTAATCTCGCAACTGCAGATAGACTAGCCTGCACAGATAGGTGGTTCAAATAGCAGAAGTCTGCTAAATCCAAAACAGCACCAGATACTCTGTAAATCATACCACAGCTCATAACAATGAATTACCATGCTGATGCTGTATGTTTAGAAGAAAGAAACAATTCCCATACTAGGAAAACTATAAAAGGCAACCTTTAAGGTACATTAACCAATCCTTTTAATTGCACAGAAGAGAAACAGCTCAAGTCAGTCGCAGTAAATACACAGACAATTGTTAGCCTGATGCCTTAATGGAAAATAAATAAAGCTCTTGCCAAGTGAGTTCAAGGAAGCTTTTATGGAGCTTGTTGTAAAAAATAATGAAATGTTTATGTGAAGAAAAATGCTTCAACTATTTTCTGTCTTAGTAATTAGAATGTTAGCTACATGTCCCACTGTGGTTCTGTGCCTTTATGCTGGACTATTTTTTGTTACACAGGACCTCCATCTGCACCACAGAACCTCATTTTCAACATCAACCAGACTACCGTGAGTTTAGAGTGGAGTCCTCCTGCTGACAATGGGGGAAGAAATGATGTGACCTACCGCATTTTGTGCAAGAGGTGCAGCTGGGAGCAGGGTGAATGTGTTCCTTGTGGGAGTAACATCGGATATATGCCCCAGCAATCAGGATTAGTAGATAACTATGTCACTGTCATGGACCTGCTAGCTCATGCTAACTACACATTTGAAGTTGAAGCTGTGAATGGGGTGTCTGACTTGAGTCGTTCCCAGAGGCTTTTTGCAGCTGTCAGTATTACCACTGGTCAAGCAGGTAAGATTTTATCCTTCATATGAATCTCAATAGTGTGAGACTAAGAGAAATTGGGAACATGCAAACCACAGATGCGGTAAATCAGTAGCATGTCTGGTGCATCTTTTCGCTTTGCCAACTCCTTAATTTGAGCTTATACTATTTCTTGGTGATCTCTTCTGTTTATTGGCTTCAGGATTGCTTTCAGAAAACTGCATGAAAATCTTTAAGAGGAGATAATTTTTTTATTAAATATTTTTATTATTTAACTTGATTTATTCAACTTTATTATAAAATAGATTTTTTAAATTTTGCAATTTTTTTTTGTTACATCATTGTATGTTATTTCCTAGTATTTGAAGAAAAAGTAGATATGACAGTCTTATGCAGGCTTCCTTTCTGAATATTTTAAACCTGTATAGGAGTCCCAGGTCATTAGAAGATGATTTGGATATGTTATGGTGTTTTGGGTGTTCATGTTTTCCCTCAGGATTACATTTCTAATTTATCTTATATGTCCAAATATCTGATTATGAGATTCAGTGAGAATGTGATGGTTAGTCTTTGTTTCTTCTGCTTATCATAATCTGACAGGTGAAATGTCAGGGAAAATAAAATCAAACTAGCGTATCACCCCAGGGAGAATAGGGCTTTGGTTGGCTGTATACTCAGTGAAAAAACAGGATTCTCAGATTTGGGACTCTGAAATGCTAAGTTATTTCTTGATAAAAAAACACAGGCCTCTGAATCTACAGTATATCACAAAAACTAACTTTTTATATCCTTTTATCTTAAACCAAACAGTAATTGCAAGATCTATCTGTCAAAGAAGTGCCTTAAAAATTATATGAATAACTGATGCTTGCTATAAGAACAGCTAATCAGTGTTGCAATGAATATTTCATACTTACATCTTGGAGGAAATTTTTATTGTGATCAAATTATTCTTTTTTTTAATCATATATAATTTCAGGTAAAATTATTTCCTTTTACTACTGCTTGATACTGAAGACAAAATTACCATTACATTTTCACTATTTGTTCATTGCTGCGTGAACAATCAGGGAAAACTGTAGTTATTTAGTTAATTTACACTTTAAAGATGGTAATTAAAAAAAGACAAGAAATTTTACTTCACTTCCTCTTCCCCACTCCTCACCCATGAACCTAGGATGGTTTATGTAGTCATTAAAGTTAGTCTGGAATGTTTTTTGGGATATTTAAATTCCCTATACTGCTTCCCTGCATAGCAAATCCACATTTCATATGATTTTGGAATCAATTCTGCGACTGAAAGATTTGCTCTCTGTATTTATTTAGGTTTTGGGGGTTCTGTTTGCGCATGGAGAACTTACTCTGAAACTATTGTTGTTCCACAGATTATATTACTTTAGCATCTTGACTTTTCATCTTTAAAATAATTATTTGTAATTCTTCAAGGATTCTTTTAAAGCTGAAGCTTTGTCTGTTTAGCGCTTCTAATCATAATTTAAAAACTTCCAGTTGGGCATACAGAAAGAATATATATAAGAAACAGATTTTGAAAACAAACAAACAAACAAAAAACAACAAAAAAGGCTCTCTTTGTTACAGCTTTCTCCATCTGTAAGATGAAGGTAACCCTTATTTTATCAAGCACTTCAAGATCTTCCGATTAAAAGTGCCATGAAAATGATGCCTATTTTACCAGAATTACAAAATTCATGTTAAAGAAAATAGTCTTTCAGAAAAAAAGAATAAATGAATTCACAAAAAGGAAAGACCTCTTTCACATTATTTTTACAACTGCATATTGTGGATCCTAATTCTGATTTCTTTGATATCTCAAGGAGGAAAATATTTTAGGTGGAACAGATTGATGACTATAATTGAAGAGAAAGAGGCTGGTTGCTCAAAGGAGACTGCTATGCTTCTGTGCTATTTTATTTTACCATGGAGAGAAGGAAAATGTTGGATTTATTTATAGCCGAGTAAACTAGGATTCATGCAGCTTTCATTTGTTACTATGTGACTGCTCTCTACTTTTGGCAGAAAGGACTTTTTCTATGCCCATATTGCTTTTTATCTGTGTAAATGTGTCTAACTAAACCTTCCTCATATGTTATTGTGCTAGCACAATAGGTGGCTATATATAATTACTGAGTTCACCAATTGCACAGAGGCTTGCAGTGAGATTTTCCTTTAGCAGTTTTGTTTTAATTGAATTGAACCTTTCTGGTCATATTCACAAAATTCAGATAATTTTGTAACGATAATGGGAAACTATGGATAAAATAATGGGATTTGGAGATATATTTAGTGTTTTTTTCACCTGCATATAACAAGCTTCTGATGTGGCTGAGGGAACATGTCACAGAAAATATCCAGGTGGTTAATTAAAAAAAAAAAAAAAAAAAAAGCGATTTATATTTGTGAAAATAGCATAATAAATTGAGTACAAGTAGGAAGGTAGCATTTCACACTGCTCATGTGTGTACATGAGACCCACTGCTGTTCATTCCCTGTGCTAACACTGTTCTGACCAGGCTATCAGTTGTCCTATGAAGTATTTTTTATGCTGCAGACATGAACCATGAAGCTTTATATTTCACTCTGTTTTTGGTTTGTTTCCTTTTGTTTGCATTTTTTGACAAAAGCATGAAAGAACTGAACCAGAATCACGTGTAAAAGATGAAGTACACTTATTCTCCCAGGAGTAAACCATCTTGTTTCATATCTTGCCTATCCAGCATCATATAAAGATTACAAGATATCATCCCTGCATTACAAGCGAGTCTGTGTGAAGCCATGCATCCTTGTAGAATTCAGATTTAAATGTGACTAAGCCCTAGATACAATAGAGGAATGTACTGAAGAGCTGCAGCTGGTGAACAGCAGACAACCACAACCTTTGCATGCTTATTGAATGGTTGCTTACTGAAGATAAAATTTGCTACTCCCCTAGTAGGATATTTGTTTTCAGGAGGTACTGGAGGTTCCTTTTGATCATTCAAATTCCTTTTCAAATTTTATACTTTCTTCCGTACATCTATCAAAAGACTAGTGGAACTGGTTAGGCTTTATGGCAGATGAATATTTGTCAGATTTTGGCACTTAACCAACTTCAAATTGTGAAAAAAATGCGAGTTTCAACAGTAATTGTGTCTTTTGTAAAGATACTATGTATTTAAAGCTATCCTTCTACATCCGTTCCTTAAAAGTCTAAGTGGACAATAGATGGATCTCTGATAATGAATGGGATTCGTCCAAATTACCTTGATTCTGTAAAAATTAAGATGTATTGGATGATTGCCACCATTCATCAGTATTTGAGAAAATTTAAGCATCTGCCCAGATCCAGTTTGGATAATCCACTTTATAATCACTGGAAGGGAAAAAGCATATCCAAGGGAACACACATCATGTCTTACTACTGTAAGCAAACATGACAAATAAAAGTTAAAATGTAATGCTCATGTCTGCTCCTAAACATGCTCTCTGTCCTCACGAAGGGTGCTCTTTCTAACACTCACTCCTTCACAGCAGGAGAAAAATTCACTACAAGACTTTTAGCTTATGCTGCCCCTTCTAATGCATTTGATGCTGACAACTTGAAGTGATTAAAAAAACGTGATTCAGTTCCATAATTAAGACATGGTCTTAAAAATCATTGTTTTTTAGTAAATTTATTTTTTATATGCTGATTTATGTTTTCTCTTTTTTAGACCTCCTAGAGTTCATATTTTCTGACCTTTTTTACAAGAAGCAGATCATAACCCAGATTCATTCAGCCTCACACAGCTGAATGAATGAACGAATGAATAAATAAAAGTCTTTCAAAGTTGTGTTATCCCAGTAACTTGAAAGGAAAAACATTACATGCTATAAAATCAGAACTATTAGCAGCAGAAGCATTGATTTACATGGCAAGAAGAAATGAATGAAAACACAACAGAAAAAAGCTATCCTTTGTGTTAAACTATGTGATAGGTTCTGCCTTTCTTAGACACTCAGGTACTTCAGAATTCTTGCTGAAGGAGAGATGTTCCGAATTCTCTGTTACTCTCCATTCCCCTTTGCTTGTTGCTGCTCATTGTTTTCCTCCTCTTTTCTTCTGTATGGATTTTTTCCAGGTCTCAGTTACCCGCATTTGTTTTTGAAAGTTTCTTCTTCCATAGTCTCCACACTATTGACCATCTGTTTGCTTACAGTACCCTGTCTTAAACCTGGCTTTTACTTAGCAATGAGCTGTCTCCCAGCAGGAACAGCAATCAAGATTTGTGACTGTGCCTTTTCAGTCTCTTTGACTTCACTGTTGAGTACTAGTTTTCTCTCCATCCCCCAGACCATTATAATGTCTTCCCATTCTGCCTATAAGTTGTTTTTATCTACTTTCATCTATATCTTCCATCCAGTGATCACATCTGGTGATACTTGACTATTTACTATTATTATTTACTATTATTATACTATTATAAGTAGCTTCATTGTTCAACTGGTCATTTCTGGTATATTTTCCCATTTAAATGACCTTCCTTTGGGTTCAGGTTTCTTTTGGTTTCTTGCTAGCAACTTTGCTTTCTGAACACTACTTCATCATGTAGTCTTCAGCTGCTGATCAGCTTTCCCACACTGGTATGAATACATTATATACATCATGACAGTGCTTCATTTAAAACAATTGCAGATATAATATACATATATATATATTTAATTAAATGTATTCGATCTGTTGAGCTGAGAGAACTGTTTCCTGTAGAAGGGCGCTTCTGAAAACTGATTTTTCCTAATTCCTTGTGTTAAATTTTGGTTCTTAAAAACATGTATGCTACAATGGCTGTTATTTGGGCTCCTATTTTGCTTTGTTTATTTAATGGGAGTTACAATGATGATGGCACTTTATTATTATTTAAGATATTTTCTAATCTGTTTTAACTTTTCTTCTGGACCAGTAGGCGGACTGCATGGTGCTTTTGTAAATGTTCTGCACACTGTGGCCACCAACTTAAAAGCATAAAACCAGAACAAAAATGAACATCATA